CCCTAACAAACATCCTAGAATCTTGGGTCATTATCTTCCAAACGGCTCCTTGTATTTCGCTCTTGGTGTAACACTCGCTCCACGTTGTGTAACACCTCAGCCTTTTTCGCTCAACTCAACTTGAGCTCACTCGTGTGTGACACAGTCTCCTGTCTGTGTAACACTCCAGTCATCCAGCTCAGAACCCTGAGCTTACAGATACCGTGTCCCAAAAGATCACCAAGATTCTCACGACTGTTCTGTCCTTTGCTGTAGTTATCGAACCTTGTCTTGAGAATATGCTCCACGTTGCGAGGATCAGCGGTTAGTATCTCGCTCTGTCCTAGACCCAAGAACCTGAAAGTTGGCTTCTTTCTTGCGATCTCTGTCTCGTAGTCGTATAAGTCGTCTCTGTGGAAGAAGAGGTCGAAGATGGTGGCGTGTACTGGAGAGTACTCCTTGTTGTTTATGGATTTTCCGGTGAAGATTTTGAGTGTTAGATAGATTGTGAATGATAGAAAGATGAAGACTGTGGTTAGTACTAAGATAGCTATGCTTGCCAAAGTCTCCATTTTTTTTTTTTTTTTGAGATTTTCTCTGTTTCAGGCGAGTCAACTACAACAGAGGTAGAAGACAAATGTCACGGCGCGCCATGAAGAAGATGAGATCACTAGGCCCAAAACTAAGGCCCATAAGTATAATGAAGAAGATGATCCCAGTAGGCCTAAAATCAAGGCCCATAATATAATGAAGGCCTTCTAAAACGAGTTCGGAACCCTCTTTCTAATAAAGTGGTTCTGAGTGATATTCAGTTTGATTCCTTTCTTACAGGCCTAAAACCAAGGCCCATTATAGAAACGTAGGCCTTCTGTAACGAGTTTGAACCCTCTTTCTCACTTAGAGGGTTACAAACTTAATGAATGATCTTCAACCTTCTGTGTTTTGTTTGTTAGATATCATATGAGTATCTTCAAAGGTATAATCGATTCGTTTAGCTCGATCTTCACCGAAGAAGACAACAATCATCGTCTTCACGAAGAATCTAACCACGATCCTACCGTATCTGGATCCATGAGCGTTGTCGATGGAGCTAACGAACGGGTTGCGTATAAGCTCAAAGGCTACTTCGATTTAGCGAAAGAGGAGATCGCTAAAGGTGTTAGAGCAGAAGAGTGGGGTTTACATGAAGACGCGCTTCTTCATTACAGAAACGCACAGAGGATCATGAGTGAAGCTAGCTCCACGCCTTCTCCTTCCTATATCAGTTCCAAGTAAATGTTCTTTTAAATTTTAGATTTTAGAGATGTTTTGTTTTTTTAGATTTGTGGTGTTGACTTATGGTAGTGAGAAGGAGAAGGTGAGATCGTATAGAGAGAAGATTTCTAAATGGCAGAGTCAAGTCTCTGAGAGGTTGCAAGCTCTTGGTAACCGTAAAGGTGATGATGGATGATACCTTTGAATTTTAGTATCAATGTTCAAGAAATCGTTAGGCGCATTTATATGAGATTATTGATTAGGCGGACGAGTAGAGCATCTCCAACCCTACTCTATAATTTACTGCAAAATGGAATGGAGTGGGGTTGGAGATGCGAACCATACACGTAGGCGCGCCCGTCTAGACCGATTCTTAGAACACTGATTTTTATGCACTAGTGAGGTCACATTGACATTTGATTGGTTTACTTGTTTCTGACATCAATGGTCGTTCTTGTTTTAGGTGTTGGAATGTCTGAGAATAAGGTATTTATCTTTTGTTTTTGTTCCTTTGGAGAATGTGATGTTTGTTGATTTTAAGTGATATTGATTCATATGATGAATTCATCATTTCTGATTCTTGATTATGTAGAGAAATGTACCATCTCCTTCTTCAGTTTCCTCCACGGCGTTTAATAGAAGAGTTTCATCACAAAAGACTTCACTTCCCAGAGGTGGCGTTGGGATGGCGAGGAGCCCTAGAGATGCTACTACAAACCCAAGACCTGCGAAAGAATCTGGAAGTGGATACGATGATAAGTTAGAAGAGATGATCAACACAACTATAGTGGACAGGAGTCCATCTGTGAAGTGGGATGATGTTGGTGAGTGCCATTTTTTACTTTTTTCGGAGCTATATGTGGAGGAATCACACTTATGATGAACTATTGTAGCTGGACTTGATGGAGCTAAACAAGCTTTATTGGAGATGGTTATTTTACCAGCAAAGCGAAGAGATTTGTTCACTGGTCTCCGCAGACCAGCTAGAGGTATTATTTTCAAGCTTTGTTTCTCTCTTGATCTTCTCCTGGTACCTTCCTTATTGAAAGTTCTTCTTTGTTAGGTTTGCTTCTCTTTGGGCCACCTGGAAATGGAAAAACAATGCTTGCCAAGGCAGTTGCTTCCGAGTCACAGGCAACATTCTTCAACGTCTCAGCATCTTCATTGACATCTAAATGGGTGTGTGCTTCGCCTAGTTCTGTTTACTTACTTTTGTAACATGGCTTTCCATTTCAGATATAGTCAAATTGGCTTTCGTGTACTGTATCAGGTGGGTGAGGCTGAGAAGCTAGTTAAAACGTTGTTCCAAGTTGCAATATCCAGACAACCGTCTGTGATATTTATGGATGAAGTATGTATTTTTCTCCTTCCCTGTCTTTTACATTGACTAACAGAGCACTTGTTCTTACAGAAGCTCTAGAAAATACTATAAAAGTGGTGGTGCACTTAGTAAGATGCAGCCTTTGGAATTAGCCTTTCTTGTTTTGTTCTATATCATCAATGACTTTCGTGATATACTGATCAACATATTGTCACTTGAAAATGTGAATGTGTGTATTTTACTCTTGGTTTCAGATAGATAGTATAATGTCTACAAGGTCGGTCAGCGAGAATGAAGCAAGCAGAAGGTTGAAATCAGAATTCCTTATTCAGTTTGATGGTGTGACTTCTAATCCTGATGATTTGGTGATTGTCATCGGTATGCTTCCTGCTAATTCAATCTTCACTCTGTTTAGCCATCATGTCTGATATACATGTACTTGAATTGTAGAGAAAAATCTCTGAGTATCGGTTTACATCTGTTTTGTATTTATCGTTGCCCTATAAATTTTACTTGGATGTATTATGGTTACAGGAGCTACTAACAAGCCACAGGAGTTGGATGATGCAGTGCTTAGAAGATTGGTAAGAACATTATCACCTTCAGGATTTCTACACCAATCCATATGAAAGAATCTAATAATTAAATGCTTTGAATTGATCACTTTGTTAGGTAAAGAGAATATATGTACCATTACCGGATACAAACGTCAGGAAACTACTTTTCAAAACTAAACTGAAGTGCCAGCCTCACTCTCTATCCGGTGGAGACATTGATAAAATCGTCAGAGAAACTGAAGGCAAGTTTTGTATAAAAACACAAATGGTTTAATATTACCATTTAGGAGTCTAAGTAAACTAATAAGCTTTGCTTATGGTACAGGATACTCAGGAAGCGATCTACAAGCATTGTGTGAAGAAGCTGCAATGATGCCAATCAGAGAACTCGGTGCAGATATTCTCACCATCCAAGCAAATAAAGTATTATACCAAACCTCTTCTAAACTCTTTTAAGTCTTTCAAAACAATTTTGAAGTCTCTTTTGGGTTGAAAAGGTTTGTTTGTTTGTTTGTTTGTTTGATTGATTGATGAATGGATGTATAAAATGTTTACAGGTGAGACCGCTAAGATATGATGATTTTAGGAAATCGATGGCAGTGATAAGACCAAGCTTGAGTAAAAGCAAATGGGAAGAGCTTGAACGTTGGAACTCAGAGTTTGGCTCTAATTGAATTTCTTCTTGTAAGTGGTATAGTGTTGAACTGTTGATACTCTTGTAAACATTTTATACATCAATGCAAATGTATTTATTTACAATCTATGGAATAATGTCATAAGACATGAATTATTATATATGATCTTCTGAAATGGATTTAATTTCATCAAAACCATAGACAGTTGTTGGGTTACAATATCTATAATTAAAATTCTTTTATAGATAATCTAGAGGGTAAAATTATAATAGATATCTAATCAGTCAGACAAACCATTAGTTACCCATAACTCTCTTGCTGGACTAGTTATGAAGCATTTGCTTATAATTTTCTGCAGCTTCTTGTTAGGGATCCCCTCCAAAAGGCTCTCTCTTACCAAGATCATGCAACATCCTTGGATCGTTAAGCACGCAGATCCTAAAGGTGTCTGCCTCATTTGATGCTATTCACCCAATCTCTGGACAAGTGGCTTATATGTAATCTAGCGTTGTGTGAAGAGAAGTCTTAGAAGTTAAAAGAGAATGCACATTTTATGTCTCACGATGTTCAAAAATTTGTTGACTACATAACATTGTGTCCCCCTCTAAATACTTTTCAACTTGGTAACAACTGTAGTTATAAATATATTCTCTTTTCTAGTAAAAAGAAATAAAACAAAACACAATACTTTATTTATATTAAATAAAAAATAAAATAAAAAATGTTTGATTGAATGCTTAGTAATATCTCACACAATCACAATTGATATTATAAACTGTAGACATGTGGACAGTATTTGCTTTTACAGCTCAAAAAATCTTATAATGGGAAGCAGTGATTCAATATTGGCCCTCACCGACTAGTGTGGATATATATATTCTCTAAAACATGTATTTTTCTATATGTTTTTTTTTTTGTCAACTTTTCTATATGTTTTCATTCTACAATAAAGCCAGGTTGGAATCATAAATACTTAAGCCACCAATCAACAGACTACTTTAAATACATTTTCAGATTTTTAAATTGTGAACAAATATACACCTACACAACTCGATTAATTAAAAGTATAATCTATTTACTTTTTCTGAGAACCCAAAAAATTACCTAGAGTGTTTATATTTGCTAAAGAATATTAAACTGTCTAAGAAGAAGCCCAGAGCCCACGATGGTAATTTACGCAAAAGGACAATTAAATGGAATGGCCTCTCTTTCTTCTTACAGCTATTGTCCGAAAAAGCACATGGCCCCAATCCAACTCAACATGCTTATAAACAACACACATTGACAAAAGAATAACTTAACCCTAGTTTAAATACTAACCTAACCACAGTTAACTCTTCACCTCATTAAACTTCATCCTTCCCCACTGTCTTCTCACTTCCTCTGCTCCATCCACACTCACACTGAAACTCAACATGGCGACGCCTCAGACCTTCTCTCTCCTCGCCTTCACTCTCTCTCTCCTCGCTCTCACCGTACAAAGCCACAACATCACTCAAATCCTCGCTGACAACCCCGAATACTCCTCCTTCAACAGCTACCTCTCACAGACCAAGCTCGCCGACGAGATCAACAGCCGCTCAACCATCACCCTCCTCGTCCTCAACAACGGCGCAATGTCTTCCCTCGCCGGAAAACACCCCCTCTCCGTCATCAAAAACGCTCTCAGCCTCCTCGTCCTCCTCGACTACTACGACCCCCAGAAACTCCACAAGATCTCCGACGGCACGGTCCTCACCACCACTCTCTACCAAACCACCGGAAACGCTCCCGGAAACTTAGGCTTCGTCAACATCACCGACCTCAAGGGAGGCAAAGTCGGCTTCGGCTCCGCCGCCTCAGGCTCCAAGCTCGACTCCTCTTACACGAAGTCCGTCAAGCAAATCCCTTACAACATCTCCGTCCTCGAGATCGACGCTCCGATCATATCTCCGGGACTCTTGACCGCACCTGCTCCCTCCGCCGCCGTGTCGAACATAACCGGTCTGCTAGAGAAAGCCGGTTGCAAAACCTTCGCGGGCTTGCTCGTCTCCAGCGGCGTCCTCAAGACTTACGAATCCGCGCTCGAAAACGGGTTGACGGTTTTTGCACCGTCCGATGAGGCTTTCAAGGACGATGACGTGCCCGATCTGAAGAACCTCACGCAAGCTGAGGTGGTCTCGCTCCTAGAGTATCACGCCCTCCCTGAGTACAAACCGAAAGGCTCTTTGAAGACTAACAAAAACAAAATCTCGACTTTGGCCACTAACGGCGCGGGGAAATACGATATCACGACGTCGAACTCCGGCGACGAGGTTGTTCTCCACACCGGCGTTGCTCCGTCGAGGGTCGCTGATACGGTGCTCGATGCTACTCCGGTGGTGATTTTCACGGTGGATAAAGTCCTCCTCCCCGCTGAACTTTTCGGGAAAGCTGCTTCTCCGGCGCCGTCGCCGTCGCCGGCGGAAAGTCCGTCGCCGACTGCAGCGTCGCCGCCGGCACCTCCGAGTGATGAGT